CTCGGGGCGTCTGTTAAAATTAAAAAAAAAAAGCGTTACGCGTGACGAAGAATCACGCAATAGTATAGGGGAGATATGTACGTCTATGCGCAAGAACTTATTATTAGATAGAAATTCACCTGTTATCGCAGCAACATCATAAACACCAACCTATTATAATAACAATCAATCAATCAGTAATATTAATATCAATACTTTATTTTCATCTAATACTACATAGACATTCATAATATCCAGACGCCCGTTTAATCTAACTTCAATTAGGATGAATTTATAGTGATTTTATCATTTTAACCACACTCGTAAAAAAAATGTAATGAAAACACTTACACCCAAATTATGAAAATACCACCCTATTAATTCCTTCTTTGTAGGAGGATTTGAATCGTCTTCATTTTGAACTTTTTCGTAATCTTTTTCTTCTTCTGAAGTTCTCATTTCATTTAAGTTTAACAGTAACAATAACGATAGAATGCGTTTAAGCCCCAGCACTTAAATTGTATATTTGTTACAACATTACGTATACCGAATTTCAATTACCAGTCATACAAAAAAAAGGCATTGGAACATTAACGTTAATCAAAAAAAAGCCAAGCGTAATACTGCATTAACCAAATATAGCGTCCGATGCATTATTTAGAGACATTATTGTTTAAAAATGAATGAAGGCTTTTAACTGGTCATTAAATACAGTCACAGACTTTCATTCTGCGACACCAAAATAAAAAAAATTATGGTTAGATTAATAAGCACGGGACGTTATTTTAGGTAAATACAGTATAAAATTTTCTGTTGCTATTTTCAAAGCTCGTGATCATAATTAATTACTATACATATTTAGTGAATCGAGTCGATCATGAGCTTATCCATTAACGTTATTGTCAAACAAATTAGGCTAAATATGTGAATTGCATACGGGTTGTACCCCGGAACATCAGAGAACTTATAGCAAATCAGTATGGTATAGGTGTAGGGTTGAAAATTACATTTTACAATCTTACATTTCATGCAATTTTGCGTAAGTTTCAGTAACATGGATTTCATGTAAATTTCACATGTGATATAAAGTACCAGCTTTATGATCATATGAACGAAAATTTTTGATGTAATTATTAAAATTAAGTGATATACGTAATGATTTATTAATGATTTATTTTACATAATTTATAAATATTATGCAGCTTCATGATCAGTTTTATAAGCAATTTATTGCTAAGAAAAGTAACTGGCTAATTAATCACAACGATGATTTATAATTGTTATGCGGTTTCATAAACGGGTTCATAAGCGATTCATAAGCGGATTAATAGTTAAGGCAAACCATTATAATTATAAATGATTGGATTAAATTTTATGAAATGTTATCATTAATTTTTAATAATCACCAAATCGAAAAATCCGCCCGCATTATAGTTGCCGTCCAAACCAAGGCTTTTGGAACTTTCTAGGGTATTAACCAGTGTTGGACAATGACAATGTCATAAGTCATTTAACTAATGACTTATATCATTTTGTCATATGATATATAATCATATATCATTTTGTCATATTTTCATATGACACTATCATATGACTTATATGACTAATGACATATGAGTGCCGCCAAGGGAAAATGTCCCTCTGTAAATTATTATTGATTATTATCTGATTCAGCCCTTCTGATCAATAACACATCGGACTTTTAATTATATGACATATAGGATAAAAAATAATTGTATGTACATACAATAAAGCACAAATTTTGAAAGCCCGATGCATCATTAATCAGAAGGGCTGAATCAGATAAATAATTAATAATATACTATAATTTACAGAGGGACATTTTCCCTTGGCGGCACTCATATGTCATTTGTCATATTTAATTCATATGAAAATTTATCGAAAGAAGTAAGTGTTTGACAATTTTTCGAATTGATAAGCCCAAAGTTTTCGATTATTTACCAGAAAAGATGTTATATTTCTGCATTCAACCAGAAATACCCTATATGTACGTACGTACTAAAGTTTTATGATATTTATATTAATCACTGATCTAAATTATATACATCAATTTGAATCCATTATACCGAAATTACAAACTTGTCGAATCTGCCGAAAAATCATTCGGTAAATTTTATCAAGTGTTCCAGAAATTATGATAACAGCTGTAATTAAACGGAGCCTCCAATATTTTACAACAGAATTTTGTGCCTACCCTTCAACTGATTACTTTTTTTTATTAATATATGATATATCCGTCAGGTAATTATCTAAGTGTACAAATGATGAAAAATAACGATTTCGGTTTTTTCATTAACTGATAAAAGAAACTTTCTGTCGTATAATGTTGTTTCCACTTCTACAGTAAATATGCATTCATGTGCATGAATAGATTATTTTAATTGATATCTAATACTCAAGTAATAAAAATCATTATCATTACAGACTAACTTAACGTTAATAAAAATTGAATAAGAAATAAATAGTTCATCTTAAGTACTCCGATTATAGATTATTTGATATTATAATATTTTGATAAATGACTATTAACTCGCAGTCTGAATAAACATAAAAAAAATTAAATCAGAAACTAGCTAATATTTTTTTTCTAGTATCCACGGGACAAAAGATATCAATTTTAAATTAAATATATTTGAGATATTATTAGTTTATTTTATTCTATATATATGTTGTACCTCAGATCGTTTTTGCCTTAAGTAATAACTGAGGTACCTTAAGTATTGATTGTTTGGCCGGCATTAACTGATCAACATTAATTGGTCTAAAGTATAGCCTAATTCTTATTCTAACTGTAACTCTAACTTAGGCCGATTGACACCTGAGGCAAGAATTGATCTGATGTACAATATATATATTAGTTGGTTGCTTTATTATAAGTAAAAGATATAAATTGACATTTCTAGGTTTATTTTAATGTTAGTTGAACGGGTTGAATAATTTTGATAAATAGTATAAGCAATATTACAGGTCACGTTGAATGAGGAATATAGTTTTTGATTGGTTAATTAATGCAGAATTTTGAATCAAAGTGATAATAAATGAAATGATGGATATAGTAATGTACAGTAATAAATTATTTTAGCACTACCAACTTAAAAAATTTCACTGGCTAATCAGATTTCAAGATCAGGTGTGATGTAGAGGAATTGCAAAAAATCAAAACAATTAAAAAAATTGTGTATAACTCAACATTTTACCTACGGAATCACTTTCTGCACGCTAATAAAAAGTTTTTTTTCGAAATTTTGGTATTATTACTAATTTCATAGCAAACTCTAACCTTAATGTAATAACAAAATTTTTTTAGTAAAATTTTTTAGGTGGGTAACGTTAGACCAGTTTAACGTAATATGAAGATATATATTACATATGTAATAAGAATGAAGTTATATATATTTTTATTGTATAGGTATATTAAGCACTACAAGTAACATGTTAGAGGAGGGCCAGAAAATACGTGTTTTTTTTTGGGGGGAGGGGGTCTTTTAAAAAACACGTTTATATATAGAAAAATAGAGAAGATAAGAAACCTAGGAGAGGGGGGTAATTTTGTCAAAATAAAAAACACGTGTTTTCTGGCCCTCCTCTTATAATTAAAACATGATGTTTGATACATTTTTTTTTATCATTTTATGTAACAACTTGCTGAATTTCACTATTTATTGGTTTGAATAATTGATTTCTATAGATACGTATATATTGATATATACACGATTAAAGGGTATTTATTTGGTTAGTACTTTAGATATATATTAAATTTTGATACGTATAAGTTTGTTACGTAAAAAGTTTTAAAGGTAATGTGTATATATACATAGTTCATTTGAATTTTATATTTACAGCAAACTTAAAATTTTAGATTATATAAATGTTTGGGTTAAGCATATTACAAACTTTAATTTTTATTGATAGTTTTTTATTACTGTAGTTAGATAGGTATAAGTGTTTAAGATCATTAAAAGTAGTAGAGTGTTGTGGACTGTGTTTAATGAGTTCAGCAATTTTAAGTTTCGCGTTAGGTAGAATAGGTGTAATGATTTAGACTGGTTTCGTATAGGTAAATGATTTTTTTTTGTTTAGAACTATAGAATCAGGATGGGGCTTGTTCTAGCTATATTTTCTAATCTTTGATACTCTGAGATTACATCTTCGTTAGTAAAAAATACAGATTCATCAAGGTGAGATATTTCAACATTGTTCCAGGTGGGACATCTGCTAAGAGTGACGTAAGCTTGTCCGGAAGAGAAGATATTTTGATCTAAGGCAAATGATACTTTTGGCAATATCAAACCCTGTGTTTTGTGAACTGTAAGAGCAAAACAATTTTGTATGGGGAATTGCGTATAGCTACAATTATTTCTATATATTTGAAAGTGATAGGTCTGTTTGTAAACATCAATATCTACAATAGAACCTCGTGTGAAGAATGCAATTCGGACGGACTGATTTTTGAGGTTTACATTAGTAATTACATCTACGGTGCCGTTACATATTCCATGTTCAATTAGAGAATTGTTTAGGTACATTACACGAGCACCTGGCTGTATGTAAACAGAAGGGTAGATTTGTTTTTAGCTTAAACATTCGGTTGGTATATGCGATATCCCAGGGTGTGGAATCTATGTTGTCAGACGTCTGTGATAATAAGAATATATTTGGAGGAATAAGAAGTAAATTACAGATCATTCGATTTATTTG